GTTCTTAAGTTTCTCGGTATATGGAAATTCGACGAAACTTGAGAACTAAATATTTGTCTGTTTAGTCTTCTGAGAATTCTGACAGCTTGATGTTCCAAGTAAAAAGTTGAATAAGGTAAAGAACTAAATATTTCGATGATATTTGTTTTTTATCTTCTGCAAACTAAAGGCACTCAACCCTTCACGTTCCTAGGTTTCCTGGTATACAAACGATCGAAAAGCGCTGAGAGAGTGACTATTCAGCCTTTTTGCCTTGTGGAAAGTCTATTTTGAAGACTGAATATTTAGTTTTGTTGTTAGACTCTCTAAAGCGGGAAACCGGACACCGAGGAACGTTAACATGCAGTGTGCTTTAGGTTTATGTCCTCCGCAAAAATAGCAGAACTGTTCTAATTTGTTTCGTTTCTGCAAAGCTGTTCCACAAAACAAAAGAAACTAAATTTTTATGTGTTTGCCTTTCTGGTTGCTTAGATTCTAAGTGCCAGGAAAACTGGGAAGGCGAAAGGTTGAATCTTTCATGCAAATGCTCAACATCTTGCGGACTGCAAGAAGATAAGAAAAAACTGACAGAAAAATTTCCTTACAAACGACTAGAGGTCCTATGCAGCACTTCTACTGCTTACGCCAAGTCCCTTCACCCTCAAAGCTCTTTACCGTTCTCTAAGCCCTAACGTATAAGAATAGCTTCACTGTTTCCTGTCAAAGATCGGAAGAGTACAATACAATCAGGTAGAGTAGTGTGAGGAGACAAGAAGCTCCCCCCAACAATTATATGTGTATATATTTCTTTATTCAACTCTACGCACTTATTTACACTGACCGAGCACACTCTCGTAAAAGCGGGCGTTTTCAGACAAGACAGCCCGCCAGATAGAGTGTCAGAAAGAAAGTCAAAAGATATGCCAGAAAGCATGACAGAGAGAATGTCAGAAAATATGCCGGAAAGAATGTCAGAAGATATGCCAGTCAGCATGCCAGAATGAGTGTCAGAAGAGATGCCAAAAAGAATATGGAAAGAGTGTCAGAAGATATGCCAGAAAGAATGTCAAAAGATATGCGAGAAAAATGTCAGAGAGAGTTTGACTGTCACACTTTCAGAAGAGATGCAAGAAAGAATGTCAGAAACTATGCCAAATAGAATGTCAGAAGACACGCCAGAAAGCATGCCAGAAGAGATGCCAGAAAGAACGTCAGAAGATATGCCGGAAATAATGCCAGAAAGAATGCCAGATGAAAGAATGTCAGAAACTATGCCAAAAAAGAATGTCGGAAAACATGACAAAAAATGTCAGAAGATATGCAAAACAAATGTCAGAAAGAATAGCAAGAAGATATGCCAGAAAGAACGCCGCAATAATGTTTCAATACATGCCACAAAAATTGTCAGATTGAAACGTCATGGATCACTCGAAGTAAAGTATGATTGAATCTTGAGTCTTGAATCTTAGCTATTGAGCCTTGAATCTTGGACCTTGAATCTTGACCCAGGTACTACTTGGAACAAATGTTGCCACAGGAACCGATTGCAAACGTTGCAATGGCTGACCGGCCACCAAACATACCACAATATCAGTCACATTCTGAAGAACGTTGCCACGTTTGAAGAAGCCATCAAGGTAAAGCACTACATCAAGAGTGAGCGCTGGATACATACATTGAATAGTCTTTTATGGCAATGAACCCTCACGAAGAAGATGACCAGAGATAAAGTTCTAGAACTCATTCAAAAAACCAATGAAGAGTTCGAAACAAATGAATGATATGAACTAGGTGTTCAAAGAATCCATGTATCAGCCAGAACCTTTGATTGTATGGGTAGTCTGATGTGATGTACTCCTATAAGTCTTCCAAACAAGACCATCATATATGAACATTTTTGGGGTTGATTGAGGATGACCACATCTACGCGCTAAACAGAGATGTCAAGGGCACTAACAGCCAGAAAGCTTGGTATGGACAATGAATATACATTAAATGTTGAGGCTTCTCCAGACTGTCACATCAACACCAGAGATGAACCCAATGGATGTAGGATGATCGAAGGCAGTGATGACTTTCTGAAATATACTGAGAAGGGGTTCTACAAACTCAATCAACGCCTGTATACTGTATACTGTATACATTTTAACAGCCGAGGCAACGAAAACATACAACGACATGTCAGAAGCAATGCTCATTTTCAACCAATAAACTGTCAATCCGTTACATAAATCAAAAACTCTATTATAATGAAGTTCATACTGACCTTCGAAACCAGTGTAGAACAATCCCGCCGGCTGGGATCTCCATAACTTTGTTGATAACAGGGAGGTACACTTGGAAATAGAACAGAACAAGGCTTACACTTACTGTTTAGGGGAAACAGTAAAAATACGCGCGGTTGTTTTCTGTTTAATAAACACTACAAATATCTATTAACGTATGGTATAAATTTGCTGGTAAAGTTGACTCATAAGCAGCAGTCTTCTCTTGTGTGTGTGATGTTTGTTAAAGATTATTAAGGAATATAAATGGTTTGTTAATGTGGGACGCTGGAAAAGGGAACTAACAAGAGCCAAAAGAGTATAGATGTTGAAGCACGGACACTTTAAGACTAATGATTCCAAATATCATAATGGTTTTAGTCAAGCTGAAAAAGAATCAGCCACCAAACGCTATACTCTAACAGTCTCTGACAAAAGGGCAATCAATTGAAAGATTGCTTCTGATGTGGCAATGCTCTTCATAATTTGATTGATATTGTGGCATGTTTGGGGGCCGGTCAGCCATTGCAAACGTTTGCAAATGGTTTCTGTGGCGAAATTTATTCCATGTATATAGTCTCTGATCCAAGATTCAACATGTCTAAAAAACACTCTCACAAAACAGACAAGAAAGGTAGACTTTTCAGTGGAGTGGCATATGTACATAAATGTTACATAAATATTATATATATACTTTCATATCAGTCGACTGAAGCGCAGCTCCCTTCTTTTTCCACAGTTCGCGCAGGGAGCTGGGGTAGAACTCTTTCAGTCATCAGAGGCCCTCCTCGGATTTGCGTTGGTTTGTGCACCTATAATGGGTGAACTCCATACACCGGCAGTGGAGAGAACTCTCAACACCGCCCACTACCCAACCGCAAAAAAAAGAGCCGACTGAATCTATCCCGAGAGTTAGCCCACCCGGCGCCGCACACGGGGCAAGGGTGCCCAAACAGGACACCTGGCGGGCATCACCCGCCGGTCGGAGCAATTAGCTCCTCGCCTTGGCTTTCTGCTGGCGCCCCCTGAAATCAAAGGAAATCAACATCAAACTGTTTCAGGGTACGGTGGGCGGGGAAAGAAATTCACCTGAAGCCTTTTTGGGTCACTTGAGCATAAGATAGCGTAAGCGGCGGCGGCGGCACATGTACATGTTGCATGCCACAGCTCAAGTTAAGATCAACTGACATGAATGATTATAGTGTCCACCACACCTGCCCTAGGAGCACAAGACACTACAACATTCAGCACTCCAGTCGGCCGATGTGGGGATCCATTCGAAGTATGTATGGCGACATGGGCCTGCACCTCCTCAGCAAGACCGGGGGAGACCTCATCCCACTGTTTGACCCCATGGTCGTAAAGCAGGACTCGAAGACAGAGCCGCAACGAGCTTCTGCCGAAAATAGCGGTGTGGCATCTGGTTCCCGCTGAGCTCCAAGGAATCCAACCAATTGCCAATCGCACAAGTCTCGGTGGGGGTAAGCCTGGCTTAGAAACCCCAAGCCACCACCACCTGCCTCCATGATTTGGCTGACACCAGGGCGTCCAGAGAGGTTGGCCACATCGAGAGCCTCAGCTCAACACCAATCCAAAAGTTCCACCCAGGTTGCTTGGACCTTCTTCAGGGTCTCACGCTCACGTGAGGCCAGAAGCTTCTGCACCACCGCTCAACTGTGGTACGACTCTTGGCCAGGTCGTCCTTGTAAGTGCTGGCTGGAAGAACACTGCCTCCAGCGTGGTCTTGAATGCCTCATTGCGCGGGAAAGGAGTATTGGCTGGAGCAGGCCGCTTCTGTGGGAGCCGCGCCACACGCGGGGGCGGGTGGAAAGTAGGAGCGCACGACAGACGCACCGATGGCTTCCCCCAACGCCTTGAGCGGAGGAGAATGCACCCCACCATGCTGGGCAATCACAACTCGAACATCACCGCTTGACGCGAGCTCGACACTCGAGCCAGGCATGAGCAACTTCCGGGCACCCTCCCCAACTGCCTCGGCGAAGTCCAGGAAGTCGAAGGCGAAATCTGCATCCTCCTGCAGGCCGTGACGCTCCCTGAAACTTTGCGCCGCCATGGGCATAAAACGGACCCCTGGCCACTCCAGGGAAAGACATTCACCTGAAGCCCTTTTTGGTCACTTGAGCATAAGCGGCGGCGGCGGCACATGTACATGTCGCATGCCACAGCTCAAGTCAAGATCAACTGACATGAATGATTATGATGATTATGTGTCCACCACACCTGCCCTAGGAGCACAAGACACTACAATATATATTATACAGTATGTGTATATGCACCTGTGAGTAGCGGACAAAACTTCTTCACTTCTTCGTGTCAATGAGTCAATGCCAAGAGGTATATATTTAAGTATCTGAAACCAGAGTGAGCAGCATGATGTGTACAAAATGGTAAGCACAAGAAATTCATTGGGAAGCTGTCGCGGTGGGCAAATCTATTGGCATGCTTTCATGATGTGATCTGGGCGTCCACTTTGTAGTCAAAACAGCAGCTAAGCCCGGGCAAACCCCTTGTTTAATGGTATTCATATTATCTCATATTCGCCTGGTTGAATCTTGTTTCTGTCTTCTTGTTTCTGTCTGGATTGGACAAAAATGCACGTCCTGGTATTGTCAAAAAAAGGAGCTAGTCACCTCTCCTGCTACTTTCACTAAAGCTATTGTTAAATGCTAGCAATTGACTCTATTTGCATGTGGCCCTGCTAGATTTAATTGCATCTGCTTCATGGAGAGAGCTCGCCTTTGGCTGCACGTCCATCACAACTAGCACTGGCTCGGGGCAATACCTCCAACCAGTTCCATACCATCTTTATAAGGTTTGACCAGACTTGTGTTTTGTCACTTCACCATCTCCGTTTCTGGCTCCTGGGTCTCCAACCGTCGGTATAGCTCGTGAATGCTCAGGTCCGATGGCTTGATCTTCGGACCAGTTGAGTACCAGCCAACGATGCGTTCCTTTGTGTTTACCTCGCCAGCACCAGCGTGAAAGCTGTCAAGGCCTTCAAGGATCTAAACATCAAAGCTGTCAAGGCCTTCTTGAACATCGCAAACATTGACTCGTGGAAGTTGTGATCCAAGAACCAAACCTTGTCGCTACAACACCAAATGATGTGTGGTCTTTCATCAGGTCACTGCAGTGAAACCTGAGGATCTCGAGGATCTTCCTCGAACGGCACCGCAAAGCAATTGGTGATGTGCAGGCTATAGTCCGAAACCTCACACTATAGGCTGACAAACACAAGGCTGACTTGTTGTCCAACAATGTCAAACAGTTCAGTCAGAAGTGTTGGTATATGTTAATGTATGTCATTGATATTTTTCGACAATGCCAAAGTTTTAGCATCACATTGCAAATGCCACCACAGTATGGCACTGCCACACATGCAGGACACTTGCCTCGCCAACCAGTGTGCCAACGACCCGCTTCGTGGTGCCTTTGGCCACCTGAGTTGTTCTCAGGCAAAACAAAACGGAGGAAACATCAAGAAGGCCTAAGTGCCGCTTAGGATAGCTTGAACAGTGCGAAAACACATTGACTCAAGGAACTTCATGTCGCTTGCAGGGTAACACAAACAAAGGCAGCTGCTCGATTGTAGTGATCAACCACGCCAAGAAGAACAATGGGATGGACGACCACATCCCGCCTGTCCTGGCCAGGTTCAATACATATATGTCCCAAAGTATGTCCCAAAGTAGTAACACTTAGCAATGCCCTTTCCTCTAAGTTCATGGGGCTGCAGGACTGAAGCCGCGCCTTCTTCACCTCTTTGGGTTTGTCCTCTTTGGTTTCTTTCTTTTCATCGGCATCCTTCTTGTCTTTCTCCTGGAAGCAGCATGAAAAACATGGGTCCTCCTGGAAGTGCAGAAAATTGAATTTCAGTCCTTGTCTTCTGCCATGATGTCGCTACACGGCTACCAAACTATGGAGCTGCAAGGTTTAACGAAATGCATCACACATCAGTACAAATCAAACGATGTTTTGTCATGTAGCATGCCCGTCATAGTCCTTTTTCTGGAACAATCAATACCTTGTCCCGAACCTTAAAAGCCATTCCAGAAGAAAAGAACTGTTCCTGGGGAGCATAAACACCAATGCATAACAAAAAACAGCCTTGCCGGAACCAAAAACACCCATTCCATCCCATTCCTCGAAACATACCACAAAGGGGAAAGAAACGAATCCACACCACACCAGGAAAAGAGCTGTGCAATCTGTAGAAACAAAACACAGGGAGCAAACATGATTGGTCCAAATCTCCACAAAAAGCCGGGAAAAGACCTGTCCACGACTGCGGGAACATATAATAAAGGGAACAGTTGATATCTGCGTGAACAAAAAACACCCCAGCGGGAAGGACAGTCGGACAAACACCTATACAATCGGGATCGGGAGAGAGCATTGAAGCAGCCAGCTGCTCACAGCTGGGCTCATCAACTTGTGGTCCTTGATTCTTCCTCCAGATTCCCTACTCACTGGAAGTACCTGGCATGGTATTTAGCACTATACCTCCAGATTCCCAATCGGTTTATCACTTTGGAGCGTCAAATGTCCTTCTTGAAGAGTTTTCAGTGAGGGGACCGTAAATAACTTTGCAAGGCGCAGGTCTATACCTGGGTCAAAAGGCTATAGGTCTGTCCGATACAAAAGCCAAATAGAAAAGGACCTATGAAAATAGACAGAGATTGTCATTCAATGGATTCGAATCCATGAAGCAGGATGTACGTTGCAAGACTTCTCATTTTGTAAGTCGTGACTTGCAACCGATCTTTGTACAAGCCCTGAAGCCCTTTGTACAAGCAGTCTTTGTACTTGCGCTATTTGGCCGGACTCAAAGCACCCCAGGCTTCAAAAGGTGTAAAGTGGCTAAAGGCCAGGTGACATTTGTGAAAGCCATTCTGACCTGGATGGCAGTGCTCAAGGCAGCGCAGTTCCGTGCATAGTGCTGAGGCAGCAGCTCTATGTCTTTCAGGGTCTTATTCTTGAGCTTGATGTTCAGAGCGGTTTTGATGAGCCTAGCTAGCGGCAGTTAGCGTGGCCTGTACCATTTGGCTGAAGCATCTCATCACAGAACAAAAGAATTGGCCAGAGTCGCACTTCTGACTCGACAGCACTTGGGGCCTGTGACAAGCGAGTGATACTTTCAAGATCTTATAGTTTCTTATGAATAATGTGTACTAATACAAATACTGTAACTTCATTGTCTTTCGATGGTCCTGTTTCAGGGTCTGCAGGATCTGCTCGAAGGACTGATGTAGCAGGGCTTCCTGATTCAACCTCGTGGCCACAACTGCGTCAGGCTTGTCATCCTTAAATATATGTTTTTATGTGTTCCTTTTGGTGGGGTAGGCTCAAGTAGCCAGTAGGCTAAGTAGGTATTTAAGCTACTAAGCTCAAGTAGCTGCTTAGGCTAGGACTCAGTAGGGCTCAGGCTTAATGATTTGGTTCCCAAACGTTTAATTTGGGGAAACCTGCTTCCAGCAGCAACAACGACAAATCTTGACGATCCAAACTTTCACCTAGGCACTTGAGTAAAGCCAGGGCGATGCGAAAAATTATTTTGACCTGAGCTGGGGGAAGAACACTGCAATAATTAATAATAATTATATACTGTTTGTAAGCCGTGAATCCATGAGTCTTTGTCACAGGAATCAGCATCTGAAACGGGTATTCACATGCCATATGCATATGAGGCACCCCTTCTGCAAGGAAGATGTCCCAGACTCGCACCACAGTAGAGAAGGGAAAGTTGTAGATGCAAACCTGCAAATGTAATGTTGGGTGAGGTATTTCAGAAGTAGAATTCAGCAGTAACTTGAGGTTCCAACAGTCATGAACCATTGAGATGCATACATTGTAGGTTCAACACCTGGCGGGCGGGCAATTGAGCATCTATATAATTCACAGCAAGTGCTGGCTCGTCTTGCCATTTCGACCTTGTTCTGTGAGATGCTCATGCAAAAGAGGCCTCAAGCGTGATCACCCTTGAATTCACATGAGTATCACGAGTGCAAAAGAGGGTCAACGCAGACCCCCATCAGAGGCATGAGCCTCAAATTGCTGGCTCCACGACTTCAAACTAGTCGGCATCTTCCAACCATCATGTACTCTGTGGCTCTGGCAGGTTGATCTCAAGCAATCTTTGAAGTTGGAAAAAGTACTTGTTCAAGAGCGGGAGGTTTGGCCTCAGCAACTGTGGTGCTTGCCACTGAGTCTGAGACAGTCCGCTTTGGCGACATCTTCGACAACAAATTTGGGCCCTTGACATGAAGAGGCCAGCCATGCGGTAGTTCTCCAGCAAAGAGATTAGCATGAGAAAAGCCTGGAGGAATGACTTCAAGATTGTCCAACAGCAAGATTTTGCGGCAAGTTCAAGTAAAATCTGCCCAAGGCGCATCGTCTTCACCCATGTACATGAGCAACACACCACATATGAAGCCCATGCCTTGGCCTGCACCATCCACTCTTGCGGTTGCTTGTTCTGTCATGCTTGGTTGCCGGCAAGCATGCAAACCTTGGCCCCCCCACAGTATCCAACCTCTGCGTTAAAAATGGAATAGGCCCGAAGCACATTCAAAAGCTGTTGCTGTCCAAGACCCTGCTTGTCCTAAGCTTGAAAATGCTCACGGCTCACACAAGACTCCTAGCGGAGTCTGTTCAAGGAGGAGGTTGATATGCTGCACATAAGGCCCCTGTGTCCCAGACTCTGTAGAGAACGTGCTTGGGAAATGTCCGATTTATGTCTCTGACCTTGCAAACAATGGCATTGTGAGCGTCATTTGCAGTAGTAGCATGGCCGTCCATGGCCGTCCCACTCAAAGGGCCGAACGTATTGATTCTTTGTTTAAGGTGTTGCACTGCGAAAGTTATTTTTTCGTATAATTTTTAGAATGTTTTTGCCCACAAACTACTTACTTGTCTCTTCAAATTCCGGACACTACGAGAAACAACACATATCACACCTGCGGACAACTCAGAAACTGGCAATATCACCTTCACACGGGGCTGTCTGTACACGCCGCATCTGCTCATAAATGTCCTCACACAGATTGCGCAGAAGAACTGTTTGAGGTATATACATGGTGGTAAAGTGACTGGTTCCTTTGGATGTTTGTGAAGCAGTTCCCGTGACAGTGCCAACTTCTGCCACACCTTATGTGCAAACATCAGATTTCCGCAGCTCGCCAATCAATGGGACTGGTGCCGAACTGAACCTCGCAGAAATTCAGGAATTCCTTGCCGAATAAGCTCCTGTCCAAAAACAAAAACATGCACAAAACAAAAGAGATGACACCCAGCCTTACACTTGTCTGGACACTTTGCCCGAAAGCGATGGAAATCAATGCCTGCGGATGATTGCAGAGGTCAATCAACTTTATCCTTTCCCCCTGACCCCTGTATGGCCACGGCTGCAACACTACTATTGTATTGTATTGTCTGGCTGTTGCCGCTGGCAACCACCGAAGCTTTATCTTATTTGAGCAACATCACCCAGACCTATGGAAATTAATGGCTACAGTTATTGCTCAGGGAGTGTTTGCAGTGTGTTTCCGACTTTTCGGACGCGTTTGGTCTGTGGTTGTCTTGTTGTCTTGCCTTGTCTGCACTCAGCTGCACGCGTTGCCAGCACTTGCAGCATGCGCGGCTAAGCCATGCAAGCGCAACATATTGTCTTGGTGTCCTCCGGTCACCATCTATATGTGCACATAGCACCGCCTAGTTCTGGGCGGCGGACGAATCGGACGCCAGGAATCGGCCACCAGAACGCCGAATCAGACGCCAGGAGTCGGTCACCAAGAAGTTGGAGTCGGTCACCGGTCGCCAGGAATCGGTCGCCAGGGATCGGTCGCCAACCCGAATCAGTCACCAACCGGTCGCTGATTCGGAGTTCTCTCCACCAACCCGAATCGGTCACTGCGGCAGGCGGGAGCAACAAAGCCGCCGGAGAAAAGCCGAACCTTCCAACCAACCCGAATCGGTCACCAACTGGTCACCAGCTGGTCGCTGATTCGGAATTCTCTCCACCAACCCGAATTGGGCACCGCGGCAGGCGGAAGCCGGCGGAAGCAAGCTAAAGAAAACCAAACAAACCCTGGGCCGAAGAAACCCTAAAGAAGTTCACCCTAAACCAACCACAAACAAACCTTATAAATAAAGAAGCTTAAACCAAGCCCAAGAAACCCTAAAGAAGTCAACTCCAAACCAAGCACAAACAACCCCCCAAAAAGCCAAGCCCGGCCAAGCCCTAAGCGAAGCCCAAACAAACCCGCCTAAAGAAGCCAAGCCCTAAACAAAGCCACAACAATCCCGACAGAAGTGAATCCTGAAACCACCCTAAGAAGTCAAGCCCTAAACCAACCCTAAACAAGCCAAAGCCTAAAGAAGCCAAGCCCTAAACTTTAGGGCCTGCGCCCAATCTGCACCAACACAGTTGTTTTCCCCAGGGTTTGAAGCTTTTGAGGTCCATAATTTGTTCGGCTTAGGCGTCCTCAAACCTTACAACCACTTGCGTGTACTTTTGCTTTTCTTTTGGAAGGTAACTTTACCCTTTTGCATAATTGAAGCTTGGGGCGAACCCCTTGGCGTAATTCTATTTTATCCTTTGGAAAAATCATTTTCCCCTTTGGCAGGATTGACACTTGGGGCGAACCCCCTTCGCGTACTTGTGCTTTGTCCTTTGGAAGAATATTTTCCCATTTGGAAAGATTGAAGCCTGGGGCGAAACCAACCCTCAAAAAGCCCAAACAAGCCAAGCCCTAAACAAAGCCCAACCAAACGCTGAATAGGCCAAACCCTAAACCAAACCTGACGAAACCCTAAAGAAGCCAACCCCAAGCCAAGCACAAACAACCCCCAAAGAAGCCAAGCCCCAACCCAAGCCCAAGGAACCCCCCTAAAGAGTTCAAGCAAAAAAACAAGCCACCAAAACAAACCCTCAGGGAGCCAAGCCGTAAACCAAGCCCAACCAAAGCCTGAAGAAGACAAGCCTTAAACGAAGCCCAAACAAACCCTAAAAGAGCGCAGCCCTAAACCAAGCCTAGACAAACCCTAAAGTTAAGAAGTCAAGCCCGAAACCAAGCCCAAACGAACCTGCCTTCAAAAGCCTAGCCATAAACAAAGCCAGAACAACCCCTAAAGGAGTGAAGCCTGAAGCCAAGCCTAAACAAACCCCAAAGAAGTCAAGCCCCAAGCCAACCTTAAACAAGCCAAAACAAAGCCTACAGAAGCCAAGCCCCAAACCAAGGCCAAACAGCCCTCAAGAAGCCGAGCTCTCAAACCAAGCCCAATCAAGCCCAAAAGAAGCCCAAGGAACCCCCCTAAAGAAGGCAAGCCCTAAAAACAACCCAAAACAATCCCTAAAGGAGTTAAGCCCTAAACAACGCCCAAACAAGCCCTAAAGAAGCCAAGCCCTAAACAAAGCCCAAGCAAGCCCTAAAGAAGTGAAGCCCTAAGCCAGATTTTGTGCGCAAGCCAGTCGAAACGCACTTCGCAGATCACGAGAGGCATGCGTGAGTAGCGGACACGCTGATGGAACACCTCGATCAAACACCGAGCCTTAACGATAACCGTAAGAGCCCCTAGTACGGCCCTAGTGCCACCGACTGCACAGCCAATCGGCATCCCGTCAGATGCCAAGCCCTGTTGCTCGTACCTGGTACCTGGTCGCTGATTCGGAACCACTGCTACCTGGTCGGTACTTCGCGAAAACGGGTCGCAGGTACCTGGTCGCTGGTTTGTGGTCGCTGATTCGTGACCCAGCTGGTCGCTGATTCGCGAAATCTGGTCGCTGGTTCGTGGTCGCTGATTCGAACCACTGGTCGCTGGTATTAAATCATTTGGCAAGCTAGACAGCACTTTGCGAGTCATGTTGCTCCCCAGTTACAATAACTACAGGTCCAGCGCAACTTACTACTTTACTACAGGTGTCATTTTTGCGATTGGACTCTAAAGCCGTGACGTTTGAACGACACGAGCGCTGAGGAGCTGGCAAATCACACGCCACTGTTCCAAGTGTTCTACCGGATCAAGCAGTTTTGAGGCCTTGGCAAGATTCGACCCCCTAGAATCTAGAAGTTTCTAGAACTTCTACTGAAGGACTTAGGCATCCTGGCTCTTTGCGCCCTCCGCTCTTCCTGAGACAGATTGGCTTTCAATCTGTCTAATGGCGCAAAGCCCGCAGCATGGCTCCTCTTCATCATCTGGCGGTGCCAGCAAGCATAATTCTGCATCCAGGACGACCATTCCGGGACAATCATCTACGCTGTGAGCCGCTTTGCAGTCTGTCAACGTGTATCGAAGCTTTGCCTGTTGCTTCCGAAGCTGAAATGTGAAACTCAAAGCGCAACATGGTGCAACATGAGCGAAAAAAGACCGCAACAAAAGGAATGCCGCAACGAGGGTACTTCCAAGACTGCATGCGGCAAGTGCGGCAAGACCTTTCGAGCTGTCAAGGTTAAGCCAGTCATGACTCAGGTGGAGGATCTTCAGCCTGCGTTGTTTGATGTTGTTCGACAAAGTCTTTTAATGTTATGCAATGCTCATGGTCTCATAATTCACAACCATTTGTATAAGCCGTCAAGCATGGCATGTAAAGGCAAACTGCTTTGAGATTCTTTACAAATCTACTACACGTATACAAGCCATGGAAAAAATACTATCACAATCTATCACATCAGGATCTGATCAATGCGCTATCACTTGTCAGATTGTGTTGTAGTGAGTTGTGGTGAGGGTATTTGTGCTTTTTTAGCTAGAACCTGCATTTTGAGATCCCAGGTCCATCTCTTTGCTTGTGTAGTCGTCCATCGTCCGAGGTTCCTTTGTATGGTCCTTCTTCAATATTGTGCTATGGCAGCAGCTATATAATTCGTTGCAATTCTTCTTTGATCCTGGCCTTGTTCCATTATTGCAGAGTGTGCCTTTTTCTTGGCATGGTCTCCTGTTTGGGCATGTTGGCTTGTACTCTTTGGCCTATCAATTCTTTGCTGACCCTTACTATATATAATCTCACGCTTTCTAGTGTCTGCATCAAGTGCAATAACTGCGCACCCTTCTGTCTATTTAATTCACCCTTGGTGCGAAAGCCTCCTTTTTTGTATATAATATATATGTAAAGGAGGAACAGACTGTTAGTTATCACAACTGAAAAAGTATAAGTTATAAGTAGTCTGGTTAACCCAGCCGGGAAGATGCAGCCAAGCATGAGGAACTTAGGTTGCCCTCAAACACCTCAAACTAGAATCAAACCAGAAACACAAACAAACAAAGACCAAAAAAAGGGAATGGTCTGACAATCTAAAGGAACAAGAGCTCAAACAGGCAGCAGCTCTAGTCCCCACGAAAGCTCCAGCCTTCTTGTCATCCGCTTTTTTACCTTGGTTTGTTTTGCTGCTGAATGTGGACATACCGAAACAAACTATGAAAAACTATCAAAATGATCAATAAGCCAATGACCAGCGGTGTTGTTCTTGAGCAAATAGTAGGCCAACCATTCCACCGGATTTTCCGGGCGAGCCTGGATGAGGATCTGTGTTTGACCGTGTTTGAGCTGAAATGGGTCATCTCGCAGCAACCACAAGTCCCTGCAGGCCTCTGCAACTGCGTTCATCCCAGGCAGCAACGTAGGAACTACATACCTGAGGAAAAAGAAAAGCAAACTCACAGACCTGACAAACCATGAAGCTCGAGTGCTTTAACCTGCGCACGTGTCCAGGTACTGACGCAACGGAAGGTCATGCATGCATGGCGCTGGTCGCTCCTACGGGTCATATGAGCTGCAATTTGTGCACAAACATCAGCAAACTCAGCGCAAAAACTGCAAAGAATGTTAAGCCCAACTCCAGCCAGACACGAGAATCGTGAATATCTTGCGTGAAACTCTATAGTCAACTGTGGAAGTTGGGGCCTCCATGGCTATCTTTTCGGCTGCAAGCCCTTCACGAGGGTTTGGATATGCCTTGGCATTCAAATGCAGCCAAACAAATGTTGAATTTGGTGGATACAGGGTAACCCATGCTTTATGCTGTTGGTGCTTTGTTGCCCAACTGCAAATCTCACGCTGAGCTCCTCTCCTGGGATTGTTTTGGCACATCCCGCTCCTGCACGGGACAAGCCAAATCTGAACAAGCCTCGTGTGAGCACTTGGAACTACTCACAAAGCCTCCCCAGACATGCCTGCAAAGCGCCCTAGGACGAGCAAACAATGCAATTCACAACAGTCCAATGCTTTTTTGCAATTCTTCAAGAAAACCCAGAACTTTATCCTTGGCCCGAAGCCTCAGCCACGGTTTCTAGCTGACACGCAAGGCAAAGCAACTCATGGCGAACGAATTTACTACAACTGCAGCAAAACAGCAAGGCGGTTCGTTCAAAAGATCACTTCATCGTGAGCAATAAGTCGACTGACATCATATCTCAGGAGCAAAGCCTGCTGAATTACAGTGCATGCTCTCAATCAAGAGAAGTGGGTGTCAAAGTTGGCTTGCGTAGTGAGTGGAAATGTGGAAGAGTAGGGGCTTGATTTGGGAAATGCGTCAAGTATTTTAGAGATGAGAAGATAGTTGACATTTCTTGGTGACAGGGAGGTGGTTATAGTTCTAGCACAGCTGCTGTTGCTACAGCTACTGCTCCGCAGCTGCCACTGCTACTGCCTCCTACTATATACTCTTACTATCTCTACTACCCATCCTACTACTACGACGACGACAAGGAGGAGGAGGAGGAGGCGGGGGGAGGAGGAGGAGGAGGCGGAGCAGGAGGAGGAGGAGAAGGAGGAGGAGGACGACACCTCCCCCCTACATACTAATGCTCCTGCTAATACCCCTCCTACCACTACCACACTATTCCACACTACTTCCACTACCACTACCACGACCATGACCCTCTGCCGCTAGCGCTACCGCACTTTTACTACTGCTGCTACTGCTGCTACTACTACTACTCCTCATACTACTACTACTACTACTGCTACTACTACTACTACTACTACTATTACTCCTACTGCTCCTGCTCCTCCTGCTGCTGCTGCTCCTCCTGCTATTGCTACTGCTACTGCTACTGCTACTCCTGCTCCTACTCCTCTTACTACCTGCTACTACTACTACCCCTACTACTACTACTACTACTACTACTACTACTACTACTACTACTACT